TACCCAACTAGATTTTTCTGCTCTCTGTATAGCTTTGTGTAGAAAATCCCACTTCCACTAAGGTATTTCTTATTATTCCAGGGTTATGTCAAAGTATTGAACATGTGTAGGTGTTTTTGGCAGACAACCTCATATTTTCTTTTTGAACTCAGCTCAGTGCACCCGCAGCTGCACTGTTGCCTTATTCAGACGGGGAGACAGCAGCACAACAGTGAATTCTGGCTCACTGGATCTGACTTAGTTGCATCACGGTGCACCTCGAGATACCCCAAAATACAAATATGGCTCGCTAACCTATTAGCCTGGACATAGCGAGCAGAGACACGGAGCTCGGATCACACTCGAAAGCTTAGAGGGAGGACTTCAAAGCGGCCCAGAAAGTTCAGCTGCAGCAGTGCTAGAAACTGTTCAAAGGAATGCAGGGCTGTTTACTATTGACTTTGCAACAATTACCCAAGCATATGTGTGTGTAATTAGATAAGGCAGCCAGTTGTTCTCTAATGCGCCAAATCAAATTAACTAAAGATGCCACATTGATTTCTTTGTGTTCCCTAAATTATTCATCTGAACCAGTAAGCCACCAAAGTGCTTTTCCAACCCCTCCATTGCTCCTGTGCATGTGGACTGCTTTGTGAAGTCGGGTATATAACTTCTTAGGTATTTTTGGCCCAGGAGCAAATTTACAAAGTGCGATTCAAGTCGACAGAATTCATATAACACTCAGCGTATATCGCTTTTGCGTGTATTGGAGGTGACAATCTTGTGTTACTTATAACACTGTTTTATTCAATGAAAAGTGCCTAGTGTTGTGATTTTTTTCACAATTTGCAGTTGCTTCAGCTATTTGAGTGACTTTACATATAAATGGACATAGCTAACTTGCTAGTCATAGCGTTCCAAATAGCAAGTGAACATAGGGCATTTTCGGCTCCATTGACTCTGTTTCCAATTGACTTATATTGAAAAATAGTCAAAACGTTGTGGTGAAGAGGGAGCTGAGCCGAAAGGCAAAGCTCTCGGTTTACCAGTCAATCTACGTTCCTCCCCTCACCTATGGTCATGAGCTTTGGGTAATGACCGAAAGGACGAGATCACAGATACAAGTGGTCAAAATGAGTTTCTTCTGTAGGGTGGCTGGGCACTCCCTTAGAGATAGGGTGAGGAGCTCAGTCACACAGGAGGGGCTCGGAGTAGAGCTGCTGCTCCTCCATGTCGAGAGGAGCCAGTTGAGGTGGCTCAGGCATTTGTTCCGGATGCCTCCTGGGCGCCTCCCTCGGGAGGTGTACCAGGCATGTTCCACTGGGAGGAGGCCCCAGGGAAGACCCAGGACACGCTGGAGGGACTATGTTTCTCGGTTGAAATGAAAACACCTTGGGGTCCCCCGAGAGGAGCTGGAGGAAGTGTCCAGGGTGAGGGAAGTCTGGGAGTCCCTGCTTAGACTGCTGCCCCCTGGCCCTGAATAAGCAGAACAAAATGGATGGATGAAAAATTGTCACTCCTCTCTCTGTAACTGCTGCAGTGAGCCTCATGGTTTTGGTCTTAAAATGTTCATATTAACCCGCTCTACATGATCCTGGTGTTTTTATATTTTGCTATTTTGTCCATAAATAAATTCCATAAATAAAAATGTATACGTAATATGGAATTGGCTCTAAATTCACCCCTGTAACCACTTGCTTCGTCAGTTCCATTTGACTGGACCCAAACTCTTTGAGTGACATCACATTCACTCACCCACTACGTCACAGTCCACTTTTTTATACAGTCTATGGTTGGAATACTGCACCTAAATTGTGATAAATCATGATCTAGCTTGAAGAAAATCATGATGTTAGTTTTTTGCCACATAGCCCACCACAAAAGAACGAAAATAACGCTGTGGTCTTTGCGCGCTCCAAAGCTCGCAGCCTTTAACCAATATCTCTCTGCTCCGCTGACGCTCCTTTCTCTGACATGTTGCACACGCCGCCAACGCCGAGGATCAATACGACCTTACCTCCACCGCCCGCTCCTTTGGAAACTTAATTACTGATATTCAGCTACAAAGTCATCATAGTCGGCCTGTCGATATTCATTGGGGATCATTACTGTTCTAATAAAAGGGGTTATTTACGGGCTACTCTGCTGACACCGGTGCTGCTGCTCCAAAGATTGAGCTTCAGCCATCTCAATTTGCTTTAACTCTCTGTCCCCCAGCATTTCTCGCCTCCTCCCCTCTCCCTGGTTCTCTCTCACCTCTCCCAGAAGCACTGACCTGAAAAAGAAAAATTGACAGCGGAGAAAGAACAGGGAGAGGATGGAGAAGTCTCTTGGATCTGTTTAGAGGTTTTTGCTCTGATAAGATGCACTGTTGTTCCCATATTCACTTTCTGTACTGTGCAAAAGTTTTAGCAAGGTGAAAGGCTACGCTGGAGTGTTTGAATATGAATATGAATATCAATCAATCAATCAATCAAACTTTATTTTTAGAGCACTTTTCATACAAAAAAATGCAACACAAAGCTCTTGAATACACAAATATGAATATGTAAGTTGTAAAGAGTTAATTTGCAAAAAACAGTGTCAAGTCAGCGGAGGAGACTCTTAGTATAGTAATATTTTCAAAAGCCAAATGTATTGAACTGCTCTCAAAACATTACATCCTTTCTTAATAAAATTGTTATACATTATTGTCCTTGATGATATCTCTAGAAAATGATTGTGACAAAAAGAAAATAATAAAATAAAAAAATCTTTTCAGTTTTTCAAAGTGGAGATATCATTTTACTACTGAAATCTTCAGTTAGTTATTTTAATAGATCATAAGCATTTTTGGAAATTGGCTTACTTCTACTTACTTACTTCTACCTGGCTTACTTAAAATAAGATGTAGATTTTGTTCTCTTGTTATATAAATTTTTACTTTTCTGAAATTGTGCTACCCTATTATTGTCCCTACATTTTTCATCCTATCTATAAGATATGCACTGCAGTGTTTTTTATATTTACAACTATTTACAAAAATCTACAGAGATTCTGCTTGTACATGCTGAACATTTTTCTTTTCAGATCAATCGTTTTCAAGGCTACAGGCAGCTATTCATCAGGTTCCTATAAAGAAAGTCATTTCATCAGTTGCCATCGCCACAGCCTGTAGTGGATAGCACAAACTATCCACTCCAGGGGTGCCTATATGTTAATTCATTCAATAAATCTCTTTAGTGTAATTGAAATGCCTGTCTATCTGATGTGTAAAAGTGGAATGGTGACCTCTGTAGATCTAAATGAGTACTGCGCCTTCAACTCTGCCTGTTTCTCAGATTCTTCATCACTTTCACACATTGCTTTGTGTGTTGTGTGTATTGCAGACACACACTATAGCTCTGCCTCGTCCTATCTTGATTAATAGGGTCCACTTTGCATCTGTGCGCAGGATGCCAAGCCACACTGAGCGGCCTTCCCTGAGCAATTAGCACAAGAGGGCACCACCAGCGTTAGATTATCAACAACAAGATGCCTCCCGACAGGCGCCCTGCAGCCTGCTGACTTATTCATATGTGTTTACTTTAAAACCCACCATGTCCTGGATTTTGGAGGGTTGGTGGGTGGGCTGCATTGGAGCTAATTTAAGAACAACATCTGGGGAGGGAGAGAGGGACCGGCCGACGTTTTATACCCCGCAGGGAGGCTACTGCAAGTCATTTTCATTGGTCTTTGAGGAGAAAATCTGCAGTTTGACATGAATAGAAGAATGTACTTTATACACTACACTATACAGCACAGTATCTGAATGAATTATTAACTATATATCGTGTGTGTTAGCTGCTGTTGTGGGTTGGCTTTCAATGTTGTGGCTCACACTGAAGCAAGGTCAAGATTTTCTAACGCAACCTTTTATATCAGAGAAGTCCCTGGTTTTACTGTTTTATATTAGATTTGTTTTTCATCTGTTTATGAAGTAGTGAGTTTACTACCGCTATCACAATGTGCAATACTTATACAGTTTTTATGTGGTAACAACAGCAGGCGCTAACTGCAGCAATGTAATTCATTTAAATGTCCCACCTAAAAATACTGTTATTGATGACTATTACTGATGAAGTGAGCATTGTTGTTATTACTGATCAGTGACTTTAGCTTGAAGTAAATACTTGCAGATATTTCTTGCATCATTGATTTTATGTTATTTTTTATTACCTTAAACTATTTGTATGCAGTGTAAATAGTCACAAGGATCTAGCATGTACGTTATTTAAGAGTATCCATTATTGATTTGTGCAAAATGAAATGCTTAATATTATGACAATGGTTTGCAGTATACAGAGTTTGTTCTACTGATCTGGAGGTTGTCGGGTTCCTGCTCAACTTAGTTCATACTTAGTCACTGTGTCACTGGGCAAGACACGTCATCTACTTTGTATCCTGTTGTTGGTTAGAGCCACAGCTATACTGGCTGAAAGTGAATAGCTCATTATGGTTTCAGGATGCATTGTCTACCGAATATGCACATATATAATATTACTGAAATGAACATATTGAAACTGCAGTTTGAGTTGACACAATTATGAAATCGCAGACAGCAGTTATTTAGATAACTGACTGTCCTCTGTTAAGAACAAAATGTCTTGTCTTTTTTATAGAAAAATCATGCTGTACCTGTAGTTTATATCTCTACAAACACATTCTGAAATGGATGGGATTCTTGTATTAGTTTATCTGTTCATATTTCAGTCTTCTTTCAAATGTTAATGCTCCTGGAGTTGTTTACAATGTGCAAAGAATCTAACTTTCAAAACATATATTGCAAATCTAAATGTAAACACAATGTTTGACAGAAGAATTAGATATTTTGCCAAAATTGTTCAGCCCTTATCAAAGCAATTACTGTAGTCTGTCTACCATATTTTGGTGATGTTAGACAGACTACAGTAATTGCTTTTACTGTTCTAGATAATTAACCAGGTGAATAATTGCAATATAAATACAAATACTGAGCATTTCATTCTTCTCTATCTTTACAGAGACCCAAACAAACCGGTTCCTCAGGACACCAAGTTCATCCACACCAAGGCCAACCGCTTCGAGGAAGTGGCCTGGTCCAAGTACAACCCCCAGGACCAGCTGTATCTGCACATTGGCCTCAAGCCCCGTGTCCGCGACCACTACCGTGCGACCAAAGTGGCCTTCTGGAAACACCTCGTGCCACATCTGTACAACCTCCATGACATGTTCCACTACACCTCCACTACCACTAAAGTGCCCCCACCCGAGACCACCCAAAACACGCTCTCCACCAAACGCCCCAACGGTAAAAACTGGCCCTTCAACACCAAGCGTCCCCCAATGTCCCCGACGTACAACAGTGAAGACACCTTAGGAGACGATGAGGAGACCGGACCTCTTGTGGTGGAGAATCCAAGAGACTACTCCACTGAGCTGAGCGTTACCATCGCTGTGGGGGCTTCTCTTCTGTTCCTTAACGTTTTGGCATTCGCAGCACTGTACTATCGTAAGGACAAGCGGCGCCAGGATTCAGGACATGGTCAACCAAGCCCACAGCGTCAGACAACCTCCAATGACATCGGACACCACGCGCCCGAGGAGGAGATCATGTCTCTGCAGATGAACCAGACCCATCACGAGTGCGACGCGGGCAACGCCAATGAGGGAGCGATCCGATTGGCTGCTCTGCCGGACTACACACTCACCTTAAGGCGCTCCCCGGATGACATACCCCTCATGACGCCTAATACCATCACCATGATCCCAAACTCTCTGGTGGGCATGCCCAATCTGCACCCATACAACACCTTCACCACGGGCTTCAACTCCACTGGTCTGCCCCACTCGCACTCTACCACCCGGGTATAGCTTTAAGAAAGGCCTACCAATACAGACGGACCAGAGGATTGTGTTTTATAAATACCACAGGGAACGCAGGGAGGGGGACAAACGGGGATGGGCAGAAGTCGGATTAAAAACAGATTTCACTAGACTTTTACTACGGAGAGTCGATGAGCGCTCTCTGTGGATGTCAAGTTGTGCAGAGCTGCCAAAATCAAACTGCTTTTCTCTTCTCCGGATGTGAGAGGAGGAGAGAGAGAGGGGAATGGGGTGGGAGACTTTCTGCAGTGTTCTTTTCTAAAATAATCATTTTAAAAAAGCCTTTTTAAGCAGACTGAGCAAATAAATAGTTTGTTATGAATCCATATTCATAACAAATAAAAAAGAGAAGTGCTTTTTATTTCCCAGCCCTTCCTTCTCCTCCAGTGGGAGACACATCCAGAACAATGGCCTCAATGTCAACATTTGCGAGGTGTTTTTAATTGCTTTTGTTTTTGTTTATGTTTCAATGCCTTACAAAGCGTGTTCTTTTCTGTCTTTCTAATTCCTGAGACAATTCCACTGGAGAGAGTTACACTGATCAGACTCAGATTTGAGAAAGACTGGACTACAGCGGACCTTTTCATTGGTAACTTTTATTCTGTTGTGGATCATGCAACAGCCTTTATTTTTACACTGAAACGGTTTGTCTGAACTGCAGTTGCCAGGGAGACCAGATGGCAAATAATAGTATGTTACTGTGATTGTTTTGTTAAGAAAAAAGTGCATCTTTGTTTGCCTATTTCTCTGTTAAGCTATCTGATCTTATCTTCACTGAGGGCACTACACATGCTGCTCAGAGCACACGTGTGCTGTGTTCATGAGAAAACCAGTGGCCAAGAAATGGAAGAGTCACGACGGTGAAAAGAGAGACAATGTGTGAGTGTGTGTGAGAGAGAAAGAGAGAAAGAGAGACAGAGTGTGTGTGTGTGTGTGTGTGTATGCATGTGCATATGCGTGTGAGAGAGAAAAGTGTGTGTGTGTACGGGTGCGTGTAAGAGAGAGAAAAGTGTGTATGTGTGCCACATGTTCTCTTTGATTTCATCATGTTTATGTTACGGTTGTACATTGTGGTTGATGGGGGGCTGGGCGGGACTTTCTCATGTTGTTGATTTGGGATCACAACCAATAGTGTTTCTGCCGCGTCTGGGTGTCAGTGTTTGCAAAATAGCACTTTTGTTATTTTCAAAAGTTATATATGTCTAATTTTGCTTAAAGATAATGAAATAAATCTATTATTTTAAATGTAAGAAAAAATAGCTAAAGATTCAATCGAACTAACAGACATGATTCCATTGACTTTGTACAAGCAGACAGTGGCCTGTTTGCACTGAATAACTCCATCAGTGCACACCTGTATTTCTTTTTTGAATATATATACATATATATAAATATGGGCATACATACATATATGTATAGGGCTTCTATAGAGATTTCACTTATAAACAATAATTCTTCAGACACAAGTCATTTCTATGTATTGTAGTTGTTTTATGAAACATCTCCAGTCAAGACCACTCCAGGAGTCTTTGTACAAGCTCTATATGTATATTTATGTATAAAATATTTAATATTTATTTATGTATACCAGATGCATACATGCTGATTGTGCCATGTGCCAAATTAAAACTGTAAAATGAAGAATATAAAGTTTCACTAAACTTTTGTCTTCTGAATCAAAGTTCTTTTCTCTGTCATTTTTCATTTTTATATTTGTTTTGTTACAAAGTCTTGTTGCAGTGAGTTTGTCTCCCGGTAGGACATCCTCTACCTCCCTCTCCACTCCTGGCCTCTTTGCTTCTTTCATTTCTGTCTCTCGCTGAAGCCTCTGAGAAAACAGGCTAACAGCTTGGGGCCGATCTGCGTGCACAATTCCACAGTTTACTGTAATTCATGCAAAGCAGCTCGACAGCAGCAGTGGAAGACCCAAGACATTGTCCCGATGCATTCTCATTGAATCCTATTATGTGTTATCCTGCTGGAGAAAACTGGAGTTATTGATTCTGTTACAAAACTGACAATACTCATGAAATGTGGCTTTGGTAAACCTATGCAAACATGGATTCTGATTAGGTTACAATTTTCAATGCAACTTTTTTTCATTTATTTACTTAACAACTGTTTTAGACACAGATTACATATGACATGGATTCTTGTGGTGCAGGCTCCCTGGCGGGTTTGTCTCTCTATGTGTGTCTATGGAGATATTAAAGTTAATGCCATACTGTGGAACAGTAAGCAATGCAATAACATGTAATTGGCGGACCCTCGATTATACAGTATTAAGTTACATAGTGTGGCTTTTGCAAACAATTACAAAATGAAACTACACAAAACATTTCTAATTTTCTGTTCAGTCAGATCTGACTGAATTGAGCACAGAAAGTCTCTTTTTGTGCTGCATTAGTTACATTTTTGCCCCATTCACCTGTCTGCGCTGATTTATTTTGGTACTCTTCTATAACACCTTCCCTGGAGTTTTGTGATTGAATCTGCAGCAGAGGCAGCAGTGGGCTGTGGTCATCTCCACACACAAACACTGAAAGGTTATTCGAGGCAAACTGCTCAAAGACTTGTCCATATGAGTCATTATGTAGCTGGAGCTGTCCTATTTGGGTTTCACCTCCTAATCAGGCACCATTTTCATCTGAGTTGCAGCCAGGAAGAAAGGACGAGGAACTGCTGTGTTTTTCTCCTCTCTTCTTTTACCTTGAGATGCCTCATACATACAGAAATATTTAATAATGTCTCAGTGTTTATTTAAAGGAGTTGACTGTGAAGTCGTTTCAGAGGCATTAATACTGCAGCAGCCCCACCTCACAGCCGGACAGGAGGGGATGGCCGGCAGCAACAGACAAAGGGATGCAGAAATAGTCCACTTGTTTTTGCTCCAAAGTGCGTTTTGTTTTAGATCTGCAAATTATAGATGCTTCTACACTTTTCAAGCCCATAAATAATTGTTTTGAAGATATTATTTTAAATGTAACATTTCTAGTGGGGGTGTGTTGCTTCTGTCCATGGAATGAAGTGCTTTGCCTGGAATGTTTCATGGTGGCATTAAACCTCTATCTTGCATTTACATTACATTGTTAAAAAATAAATACATATATAAATACAATGAAAGTACATTGAAAAATGTACAGTTGTTGTGAGCAGGCTCCTCTCTCAATGGCCTGATGATGTCACCAGCTTGATTGATAAGCTTAATGCCATACTATGGAACATTACGAGCAAAGCAACTTCTCCAATCCTCTAATTTAAACATTCATTAGTCATAAATCTTGTCATTCACTCAGTTTGAAAAGCTTGAAAAGTGTGTAACAAAAGAGATGCTTACTCCAGACACAAGGGGTCAGTAAAGGCACAACTACATATTGTTTTGGTGAGTTTTAAAACATGTTTCTGAGCAAAAGTGTCCCACTAGATTAAATATCTCTAAATTATGAATACATTATTGCAGTCAGGTATGCAGGGTAAGAACAGTGTGAGGCTAGATTAGAATTACTTGTACAAATGACCCCATTGAGATAGTAAAATTTAACAGCCTATTGAATGGCCCATTTAAAAGCAGTTAAAACTCACTATCCAATTGCAACAGCCACACTTCTCTTAAATTGTTTTCCAAAATTTCAGGGCCTATAATTTATTATTTAGCTACTATTGATTCCACAAAAACTCCCCAGCTACCTTTCTAGAAAAGTCTATATAGAGAAGGTTAAAAGTGATCAAATTCGATTAATTATTAACAGGATAAAGCTCAATGCCAACAAGGTCAAAATAGTCTGTTAAGATTGTAGCTGCAGCAGAATATAAGCATGAATTGTGTGAAAATTGAGATTTGTTTGCAGTTGTTTGAAGGTGACATAATTTGAGTTTTGGCTGCGGAGCTCTTGTGGGGTTTGTAAGTGCCTCGACAGCAGCGAGGAAGAACCCCGTCCAGGAAATGGATGTGCCAAATTACACGGCGCCCCCCGCTGGGAGAGCCGCGGAGGTGTGTGCGTCTGTGTGACTGCTGCGAGCAAGTTATTACCCATTCTCCTCCAGTCTGTCGCACATCTCTCCCTCTCACTCCAATATGAGACTCTGCCAAAACTGTTAACTAAGACTGGTATAACAGGCTGATGTTTTCAATTAAGACAGCCTAAATTGTTTTTTTGTTGTTGTTTTTTTTTTACTTTACACACAGTCTGGTCAGCTAAAAGAACAAAAGATTTCTGTATTTTTATGCAATCTGCTGGAGTTATCATTTACCCCAGAATGCCTTTGGGCACTATCTTAAAGGTGCACAATGCAACTTTTCTGGTGGATGGGCCCACACCAGGGGCCTATACTATGAAGATCCTGGAATTTCTGACGAAGTTGTGCGATTTCAGTGGCAGTTAACCAATTAGAAGAAAGATTTCACACACACAAGGAACTATCAATCATAATCTTGTCACTATACAAATAAATATACAATGTAAATATACAAGGAATTTAAAAGAAAATACAAGAACTGCCAAGGGAAACAGTCACAGCGGTCATGTGGCGCCGGCACTTAACATCCAACCACACCCACGCCAGTTACGCCCCACAGAAAGTTCCTTTGACTATGATGACTGATTAAAAAAAAAAAAGTCTAAAGGACAAATGCGATAAATTCATGACTAACATCAAAACAGAAAAATGTACTGCACTTTTGCCAAGCTGTGCATAAAGACACACAACCTAAAATGCACAGTTAGGCCTACATTTTAGTTTAAATCTTTACGTGCTAAAAAGCAATATTCAGTTTAAATGATTCCTCTGTAAATTTGTGCACATTCATATAAAAGAATATAGGTTAAGGTTACGTGTTTGGCTCAGTGTCTGGATTTTTGCCTCTGGTCTGGAGCAGGTTATGAGTTCAGGACATGGTACCACAGAACGTGACCCAGCTTTATAGTACCAGTAAACCAGAGTTAGCCACGAAGTTACCTCTAATCCAGTTTTGTGGTATGACCCTCTGC